CCCCTAAAGCATGCGCACATCACCCCCATACTCAAAAAACCCTCCCTGGACCCCACCGACCTGAACAACCTTAGACCCATCTCCCTGCTGCCATTTACTTCCAAGCTCCTTGAGCGCTTAGTCTACAATCGCCTATGCGTCCACCTCACTGACAACAACCTCCTCAATCCACTACAGTCTGGCTTCCATTCCCTACACTCCACCGAATCCGCCCTACTCAGAATCACTAATGACCTGCTAATCGCCAAAGCTAATGGCCACTACTCAGTCCTCTTACTCCTCGACCTTTCCGTGGCCTTCGACACAGTCGACCACCCCCTCCTCCTTAACAAACTCCACTCCCTCGGCATCAAAGACTCCGCTCTCTCCTGGCTCTCCTCCTATCTATCCCAACGCTCCTTCAGCGTTACCTATAACGCTACCACCTCCCCCTCTCTATTGAGGTCCCCCAAGGCTCGGTCCTCGGGCCCCTTCTCTTCTCCATCTACACCTCCTCCCTCGGCAAACTGATACATTCCCACGGCTTCAACTATCACCTCTACGACGATGACACGCAAATTTACCTCTCCACCCTCGCCTCATGCCTTCAGTCTCCGCCCGTATCACCCACCTACTGAACGACATATCAGACTGGATGTCGCACCATTTCCTCAAATTGAACCTTTCCAAAACCGAGCTCCTGATTTTCCCCCCCCAGCCCATGCCCCCCTCCCCCCCACCCTCTCCATCATGACCAACAACGCCACCATCAGTCCCACCCCATAAGCCAAAGTCCTAGGTGTCACTCTAGACTCAAACCTGTCCTTCCAACCCCATGTCCAATCGTTGGCAAACTCATGCAGGCTCCACCTCCGCAACATCTCCAAAATACGTTTGTTCCTAACCCCAGACACTACTAAACAACTCTTTCACTCCCTTATTATCTCACGTCTGGACTACTGCAACTCCCTTCTCACCGGCCTACCTCGTCGCAGACTATCCCCACTTCAGTCTATCCTAAACTCAGCAGCCAGACTCATCCACCTTACCAACCGCTCCGCATCTGCCACCCCCCTCTGTCATTCCCTCCACTGGCTCCCGATTGCCCAACGCATTAAATTCAAACTACTAACACAGACATACAAAGCCATTCATAACGCTGCCCCAAACTACCTCACCGACCTGATACCCAACCCATAATCTTCGCTCCTCACAAGACCTCCTACTTTCTAGCTCCCAGGTCTCCACCTCCCACGCCCGACTGCAGGACTTCTCCAGGACTTCCCCCATCCTCTGGAACTCACTACCCCAATCCATCAGACTGTCACCTACCCTCCTCACCTTTAGGCGCACCCTGAAAAAACCCATCTCTTTAGGGAAGCCTACCCCGCCCTCACCTAACAGCCGATCTCCTCCTACCACTCCATCCCCCACAGCCACTTCCTCCTGTACCACTATCCCCTCCCTCCTAGATTGTAAGCTTGAAAGAGCAGGGTCCTTGACCCCCTCGTGTATTGTATTGTTACTGTATTGTCTCATGTACTGTCCCCCACTATAATGTACAGCGCTGAGCAAACCTTTTAGCGCTATATAAATACTGTATAATAATAATAATCCTAGGACCAATTTAGACAGGAGCCAATTAACCTACCAACAGGTCTTTGGAGTGTCGGAGGAAACCGGAGTACCCAGAGGAAACCCATGCAGGCACAGGGAGAACATGCAAACTCCAGGCAGGTGGTGCCATGGTTGGGATTCAAACCAACGACCCTAGTACTGCCAGGCGGAAGTGATAATCATTTAGCCACTGTGCTGCCCGCTAGAGTGAAATATATCAAGTTTACATAAGCCAGTAATAGATCTTAGAACAGCAGTTGTCAACGTACAAGGCATGGGGTGCCCAGAGTATAGCAAGGGAACCTACTGTTTAGTATATGTAATGCTACTAAAGACTGGAGTCCAAGGTCTGCACCCAAAGTACCAAAAATGCCACATGTTGGGCATCTGGGCCTAATTCCAGCCATACACCACTAAAAAAAAAAATAATAATTTCAACAGGTTTTCTAAAAATTAACACATGGTTGTGAGACCAAACAGTATTTCCATCATGATCAAAAAATAGGAGTATGCAAGCACTATTATAAAATGACAGCAGCTTGAACACTTAAAAGGTACCACAGAACCCTTGAAATAGATAATATACAGAGAATAGTGCAGCGCTGTGTGTAAGAAAAATAGTAATACAAGCACAAAATAGGTACAAACAATGGTATGTTACCACATGTGAGTGGTTAAAGTCAATAAGTTCAAAATGTTCAAAATTAAGTCCTATCAGATCTAAATTCAAGGAATGCAGTTCCTTCTTTACGATGGTGTGATAAAATCATTCTAAATTGCGCACTCACCAGAAGTGCGCTATCAAATGCATTTGAGATCATAATCGTCTCATCGGGTCAGCCAGGAAAATCACTTCCAGGTATGGTCAGGTTCCTGCGCCTGTGTCTTTGAGGACCCCTCCAATGGTATCACGATCTCAGGACACCTCTAAACTGGCTTCTGCGAGTTGCGAGACTCGCAGAAAACCAAAAGAATAATGCCACATAGCGTGATACTGCATTCAATGGGGTAATTTTATTCCAACAAAGGTGCAAATCATACAATGAATGAATAAATCAAAAAACTGACCATGTGTATAAAGATGGCCGCCAACAGTGGCAGGATGCTGTAGCCCCTTACCTGACACGTTTTGTGCAAAGCAGTTAATCATAGGGTGCAGGATTACCTTCGTAAGCCTACACCCTATGAGGGTTTTGCACGAAACGCGTCAGATGGGGGGCTACAGCATCCTGACGTCCTGCCGCCGTTGGCGGCCATCTATACACACATGGTCAGTTTTTTTATTTATTCATTCCTTGTATGATTTGCACCTTTGTTGGAATATAATTACCCCATTGAATGCAGTATCACTCTATGTGGCATTATTCTTTGGTTTTAGAGGCCAGTTTAGAGGTGTCCTGAGATCGTGATACCATTAGAGGGGTCCTCAAAGACACAGGCGCAGGAACCTGACCATACCTGGAAGTGATTGTCCTGGCTGACCCGATAAGACGATTATGATCTCAAATGCGTTTGATAGCGCACTTCTGGTGAGTGCGCAATTCGTTTATCTCTGATGATTTTATCACACCATCGATTAGAATGAACTGCATTCCTCGAATTTAGATATGATAGGACTTAAGAGTCTACATTTTGAATTTATTGACTTTAACCACTCACATGGGGTAACATACCAGTATTTCCATCATGTAATGGTCAATTTTCAAATGAGAATTCATTCAATAGACTTAAATGAATCCTTTTTTTGCTTCTGAGCCACATATGTGCAGTACTAAGTTTGATTTTTAAATGGGCAAGTAACACATTAACCTTATAATTTATCAGTTGTTTCACAGAGGTTTTCCAAAGACTTCCTTTGATTTTTGGCTCAAAACGTTACTGCCAATTTTTTATTTTTGTCCATTAAGTGGACAAAAACAAACTGTCCAGGTTTTCTAGCGATTTTCCATCTAGTGTATTGACACAGTTCAAGTGGTAACTGTTTACAATCTAGCTAATCATAATGCAAACCTTACCAATATGTTTGTAACAATGAAAGTTCAAGATCGGAGTCCACCTATAGGATGCTGGAAATAAGCATTTTTGACATTTGAAATATCAGTTGCGAATGAACACTTGCATACTGGTGGAGGAAGGTCTTTTGAATAATGCTGCCCAGTGGATGTTTCCATGACAATCAACCATATTGGAAAAAATAAACTAAGATTCCAAACTAACCCAGTTATGACTAGTACACACAATGAGAAAATCAGATGAAAAAAAAAAAAAAACTTTCGGAGCTCCAGTCTGATAATCTGATCATTCGTACACAGCTCTTGAGAGACGATCAGCAGTTCATGAGAAAATATCCGAAGGGACAAGCACGAAAAATGTTCTCATAAGATAACAGAAGAAACAATTTTCATGTAAGTAGTATAGTATTTGTGCGATAAAAATCAAGTAATCGAGTAAGAATGAGCATGCTCGGAAACAAAACAAATACATTACAATACTTCAATTCCAAAGTTGTATGCTGTCTAACAACACAGAATAACTTTAGTAACCTATTCATCTTTGATATGAGACTAGCATGTGCACAAGAAAAAAAAAAAAGGGGACGATCATTCGTCTGACATTTTCATTTAAAAATACATTTTAGCTGGAGCTTTAATTTCTGAACCCTGAGAATACAGTGTTAAGAAATTCATATGTTAAAAGAACATACACCATAGATTTAATATATATTAACATTCAAACACAAACAAACATGAACATAACAGCACAAACATCAATATAAAACACAAGCAGCATGTACAAGTAAAAAAGGCACAATTCTTAAAACAAATAAAAAAAAGATGTTCTTCTTTTAAATATTGAAACATGCATGGCATATATACAATAAAAAAAATGATTTTGCAAAGATCCAATAAGTTCAGTGCAAATGTCTTCTTCTTTAACAGATCAAGTTTTCATCTTTCTATATTATGGACAGTAAAGCTATTATGAAACTGATTGAGAACTGTAATTAATTTCATTATCTGAAATTAAATTCAACCAAAAAACCTATTGCTGAGTGATGAGGAGGCAGTTGTGCAATTCAACAAAAGTTATGTTTTAAGGCTTGTACTTTATTGCACCAATTATTAGAATAGTGTGCTCTATTGAACCAATCTGAGAGATTTATTAAATAATTGGAATGAAAATGGCATAGTAGCAATACTATTTCAAGAATGTATGAAAACTGTGCAGCCTAATAATTGCACAGTTTATTACATTTGAACAAAAATTCAAAGCGGATGAAATAACTATTACCTGAATCTGTAGGTCGGTTTTCAGTGTAATCTTAGTCTAGAATTTTAAAGCCCGTGTCAATATGGGTTTAAATAAAGCATCTCAACAAAGCTTAGCAAGAAACATTTTTCCATTCACAGAGAACTGAGAATGGGTCTGGAATACACATTAGAATAGTAGCCTGCATCAGAGGATGATGGCATGTCCATTAAATTTTTTGAAGGGGTCATGTTATGATAATCAGGAGTATAGTTCTGGTAGTGAGGAAGATGATCTGTGGTTGGACACATGTCAGTTTTACTGGAGTATGTTTGTGCATTTTCAGAAGACATGAGTTGTGTGATAGAGAATGGGCGCCTCCCAGCAAATTGCTCATGCTTCATCTGAGCATCTTCTCCCACCATGCAAAGATAACCGTCACTAGAGAGACTCATTGGGTATAAGAGCTGTAATGAAGACCCACCATGTTCAGAGTTAGGGCTAATACCCACTGGTGAAGCCATATTTAGTTGGGAGATTGCCACTGATGAGTCCGTGTCTCCCCTGTTAATTGCATTTTTTGGCGACTGAGAAGAAGAATTCTCATCATAAACAGCTGGAGACTCTCTTAATTGAACTGGCATCTCATCTCCAAGTTTGCTAGTTTTTTTTTTTCTGAATCTTCAGTCCTAGACTTTTCACATTTGAACCTCTTTTGTCTTCTCAGGTAGCATCCATTTTCAAACATGTTTCCAGAGTCTGGATGAAGAGTCCAGTAGGAGCCTTTTCCTGGTTTCTCTGGTGAACGTGGAACTTTAACAAAGCAGTCATTAAATGACAAAGAGTGACGAATTGAGTTTTGCCACCTCTGCTGGTTTTGTCTGTAGTAAGGAAAAAGGTCAATGATCCACTGGTAGATCTCATTCAGTGTCATCATCTTGTTTGGCGATTGTTGAATGGCCATTGTTATAAGTGAGATGTATGAATAGGGAGGTTTGGCATGGGAATAATTTCTCCGATAGGGTCGAGGATCCCTCTGGAACTCTGTTTCTGCTTGGCAATAGCCCAATGGATAAGCAGATGAAGATGCTGGAGATGCTGATGGCCCTCCCATATTGTGGACTAGAGAGTTCAGAGAACTCAGATTGTTTTGGGTTTGGATGACATTTACAGGCCCTGCCATTGAATTATTCATGTAAGTCATTGTTGCAGGTACAGTTGAGACATCACTGGATACAAAGCTATTGTTTTGAAGGCTATTTATGCTATGTATTCCAGGATATACCTAGCAAAATAAACGAACATAAGATAATGAAGTGAGATATCCTTGTTCAATATATCCAAAGTACGCAAACTATAATATAAAAGTCATATACATTTCACAGAAAATACCTGAAAATTGTAGCAGCAATTATATCATACTGTATGACTGAATGTCAGTAATAATTACTCTCCAATATGAATATGCAATTTATAGTTCATATTTTTTGTGACAGTAGAAACAACTGAAGTGGTAATATAAAGCGACCTTGTGGTTAAAAGCATTGCATCAAAACCAAATTTCTCGATTAAACATGCAGTTGAAAATGTATCTGCTAACTGAAAACTTTCACTTCTCTTTTCTTATATTTAGATTTATAAAATCAAAATCCTTCAGTTTATTTTATTGTCATACCATTCTATTTTATCATTTTTGACACGTCTGTTTGCATTTTCTATTCAGTATTGCTATGCAATATGCATACTCAGATATTTAGCATCACTGTACAGTGTTGTCTACCTTTCCTGTTGGCAGTAATATACATAAAGGGATTACACTCTCCACAAAGAAGCACTTCCTTTAGTCTCTACCTAAGCATTCATAATGAACTTGCACTTTTCAGACATCTAGTGTTGAATAACAATGAAGTTTAATTGCCTAATAAACATGTTTTGTTACCTTCCCAGCCCAAATGTAAATGGCAGTGCTATGTGTAATGCCCTGTAATATTTTGACTTGGCAGAATTCACAAGCTAGACTTACTGCCATACCAGTAGCATACACAGATATCTAACTATACAATCAACAAACAGCTAACAAACAAAATACTCCAAGATATGAAATGCTAATATACTTGAATATCCAAGCAAAGCTTAAAAGAGAAATTTTAGGGAAAGTTTGGCTTTATATTCCCCCCCCCACCTTTCCTTTACTACATTTGGTGCAGGGGCGGACTGACCATTCGGAAACTCGGGCACTGCCAGAGGGCCGAGGGTCAGTAGGGGGCCCCATGAGATGCCCCGGTACCTTATTCATAGGCTCTCTTGAGTTTGGGCAAGGACACAGGGGCCCCATGATCCCCTATTGCCCGGGGGCCCCATGAGTTGTCAGTCCACCCCTGATTTGATATAATTTTTGGGGAGTGGGTACCTCACAGGTCCCAGAAGGCTGCAGGATCATTCACAAAGCACAGTGCAGTGGGAAGCCAGCTGTGAAGCCGGAAGGAGTAACAGCCAGTTTCTCTTAATAAACATGAAGGCTCAGGGGATACAAAGACCAGTGAAGAACTGGCCCGGATGGGGACAGCGCTGGATTCCTGGAAAGGTCTGGAAAGGAAAAGTCAGAAGCTACAGTATTCGTAGCCGATTACTTAATTGTTTTTCTTTCCAGGCAGAAGATCCACTTAAACTCTATTTGATTCAACAATGAAAAGCATATATGTGCTAATCATCTTTGTGTGTTGTAAGTGTTAACAGACAATCAATACAACAGATACTAGAAGAGACGTTTGTGAATAGGCAGGGGATCCAGATCCATAAAATATAGTTTGAGGTTACTGGATGATATTATGTATAGATTGTATACCCTTGGAATAATTTTCACATGAGTTTTAGCACTACTAGTAGCAGAGTGTACAGCTAGCTATGCACAATTATCAAGGCACCAACCCTTTCTCTCTCTCTCTCTCTCGGCTTATTGCAACATTATCTACAACACATTTGTCACTATAGTTGACAGCCAAATATGACAGATATTTTAGCTTAATAAGCAGAAAAGCCATTATAGGAGAATAAATTAGTAATTCCAGGATAACCTGGCACCACAGATACAATGACAAAGTTCTTATAGGAGTGTTCCATGCTGGCTGTATACAGTCTATGGTCTTCAAGAGTATATGGTCACCCACACAGTCGTTATAGACTATAGCTAATAATTGGCCTGTTTCCTTCAATAATTAGCCTCTATATGGATACATTAAATTAACTTATTTGGTCTCTACTAGAATTAGTTTCTCTAATATGGTCTTTAAATACTGCAGTATGGTTGAGGGTTTTTTTTTTGGTTTTTTTTAAGAACAATTAATTCTCTAAACAGGATTTAATTAGTGCTAGATTATGATCATTGTCTGGAGTTACCCAACAGTACAGTTTGCTAGATTACACTCCTGTTTACAGATAATTCACTGTATATGTAGTGAGAAAGCGCAAAAAAATCTAATGATTATAGGTCGAGTATATAGACATTAACGTACCTCACTTTCGGTGTACATTGAATGCCAGTCCATTGGGTCTTTCATTTCCAACTTGACTCTATTGAGCATAGTCTGAATGTTGACTTTTGGTACGTCTTCTTCACTCTAAAAAGAATTTAAATGGCCACTAATCTTTTGCGTCTGTAGTAGAGAGGATTCTTCCTGTGTAGAATCCAAATGTTTGGCCAAGTGAAACAAGGTCTGTGGAGACATTTAAAGGCAAAACCCTTAGAGCATTTGAATAGACCTGTCCTCCTTAAAGTCTCCACCCCTTTTCCTCAATCTCACTGTGACCTCTTCACTGGCTACCTGCAGAGCCAAATCAGTTTAGGACAAAGGAAGCTACTTGTACCCCCCTGACTGCTTTCATTCACACACACCTCCTATCCTTTTTTCAATCACCAGTCTGTCTCATCAAAATGCTAATAGGATCAAGGAGTTCCCCCAGCAACAAGGATATAGGTTCATGGTGGCATTTTCATTCCAGAAAGTATTGTCAGGGATCTCTTCCTGCCTCTTCATTTTGGAACATCTATTTTGTATGAAATGTAACCTGACCACCATGAAGTGAGTCCAAATAATGAATCCCAGTCATATACATATCCCTTCAACAGGTTCAAGAAGCTGTGGCTTTCACCTTCCTACCCAGGTGGAGCCACTAAATTTAGGATTTATATTTGTAACATGTGACTTCTAGAGAGGCCATATTATATTTGGTAGAAATGAGAAAAGATGGAGATAATAGAGGTGCTCCTAAAACTTGATCCAATATATTTACATTGTACCAATGCACTTTAATGTCCATGATCCATATATTCTATTAGTCTTAGATATGATTATTTTAAAAGTCTATAGATCTGATATGCAGTCTTAGTATATCAACAGCTTGGTGGGTTATTTGGAACAGTCAGTAAAATGGGTTGGAGCATAACAGCAAATTCGCAATCTACAAAGGTTTTGTCAGGAATGGACTCAGCACTGGTGGTGGGACTTACCTGCCGTGTGGGCTGCAGTACCAGAGCTGACCAGCGGGTGCTCTCAGCAGCCAGAAGCTCACTCCTGCAATCAGCCAAACCTGGGGCTGATTGCAGAAGGTGTATTTAAAGCATGACCAGGCCTGTGATGGGGGCCTTGGTGTATGTTTTCCCATGAGCCCCTGTACCTGGTATCTTGTGTTCCTGCTTTGTTGCTAACCCTGCTTGATCCTGACCTCTGCTGACCGTCTCCTGTTGAACCCCTGGCTTGCCTGACCATCCTTCTGCCTGATCCCCTGTACCGCGCTGCCCGTGAGTTACTGAACCCAGCTTGTGACCCTGACCATTCTCTGCCTGCTCCTTTGGTACCTTGCTGCCCGCACGTTGCTGACCTGGCCCGTCTGACCACGCTAACTACTCTGCCATCCATCCATCCTGCACGGATCCAGCCGTCCCTGCTCACACCTTCTGCCTCTTCACATCAGGCTTTCTACCTGCACATACCTCTGGTGGATCCCTCTACCACTAGCAGGTGTACTCAGGGGCCGCGACCTGGTTCCTGTCTGCTCCAAAGTCCATCCCCACCATCAGGGGCCCTAGTGAATAAGCAGACTGGGACTTAGACTCCGCGCCCTGGGGAATCCTGCCCTGAGGACCGCTAGAGGTACCACCAGGCAGTCGTTACAGAACCCTACGGCCGGCCTGACCATTCCACCTCTCCAGCCCTGACTACGCCTGTGTTCCTGCACCTACTAAGATTAGTGGAAGGTTGGTTTGTTCACTGTGCGTTTATATATATATATATATATCTGGGTGGCTAAAAATAAACTGTATTATTATACTATACCTGAAACCTGCGTTTCCCTGTGTCAGTCCACACCTTTCTGGTCATTCCTAGATTCCTGACAGGTTTATTCAGCTTTAGGCCTCATGCACACTGGATGTTTTGCTATCTCCCCTAGACACCTTTCCTCCTGGCAGCGGTGTTTTGGCAGGAAAAAATGCTTGACGTTTGTAAGTGCATGTAATGCATTTTGGGGTATAAGTACTTGGGAATTAATTTGTTTCAGTGCCAAATTAATAATTTATTCTGCCCACTGAAATTAATTCACCCTCAAGAAGTCTAAAAAAATTTTTTCACCCAAAACACAGCTGCTCCTGTACACACTGGGAGTGGGTTTTTCTTTTCTACCTCTAAACACCAATGTGTGCATGGAGACATAGGCTAACATGTAGGGGAGTTTAGAGGCTAAATAAATAAATAACCCAGATGCCCCTTGGAGCAGCTTAAAAAAAAGGTCCAGTGTGCACGAGGCCTTAATAGCAAAGTTCTTTTTTTGGCCCAAAAATATTTCCCCTTAAAGTGTTACTTAATCCACAACAGTAAAATCAGTCTGTTTTTTCAGTAAAGCATGCTAGTTACACTCACTGTGGAACCTAAGTTGTTAATCCTCCACATTGTGTAAAAGGCAGTTTGATCCTGTCTTCTCTGGTCCTCCTTTTACAGTCCCCAGTCCATCTGCTGATAGTGCGGAGCCCTAGGAGACACTCTGCATGTTCAGTTTGGTGTGTATTGCTTAAACATTTTTTGGGGAGAGTACATGGGATTAGCAGGGCCAATCAGCACT